TATGATCCTACTAAAAATTAATAAGAATAAAGCCCTCACAAGAACTTTTTCAATAGATTATGAGCACCATAAGCAAGTTGACAACTTTCCTATATATGAATTACATTATTTATTTAGCTTATTTTTATTTTCTTAAAAGATTAATTTTTTTTCTCACATATAGTTTATAAATTATTTATATAGTGAATGAAATGAAAATATTATATGAGTTATGGTTGTTAGAAGACCACTTTTTTATTTTGAATTGTTTGTTGATATTTTTAAGTTTTTTAAACAAAGCTATGGGATTTGTCTAAGAATTTGAATTGATAGAATGGTATTTATCTACAATCTACAATAATAAATGAGAATATTTTCCTAGTCTGTGTTAGGTTTTATTTAATTGTACTTTTTTAAAGAATTGTTAATTTTCTTTATTTGGAAAATTTAAAGTTTATAAACTCTGTTGTGTTCATGTATTTAACAAAGATGCATTTAATTTTAAAATAATAGCTCTATACAGATTACACTGGCATTCAGAGCCAGGAAGATAAAAACACTAGATATGAAGCCACTCTATTTCTGACATGTGGTCATAAACATATATAAAACTTGTAAAATGCAAATAGCAACCAGAGTAAGAGAAAAATGTGACAGAAAAGTAAGGAAGCTCTAGATGGAGACTTTATTTTATATAGAGAGCAAATGTTCAGTAATGGAGTATATTAAAATCTGCTCATATGTTCTGAATCTCCACAAAAGGTAGAGTTTTCCCATGTCTGAGTAAAAATAAAGATTTGTCAAAAATTATAATTAGAAAAAAGCAGATTGGAGAATTCACACAGTAACACAAGGCTCTCCACTGGGCTCCTGGGCTCCTGACTTCCTCAAGTACTGAGGTTAGTTTTCCTTTATACTGGGAGTTTGCCATAGTCTCATGATAGCAGGCCCACCTTCTTGCAGCAGGACTGCCCCTGAGCATCTCTCTCCTACCTGAAGGTCCCTAGTCCTCTTTTCCTCTTGGAGACTACACTTTCCTATTTTCTCCAAAAGTCCTTATTTTCCTTCCCTCTTCATGGAATCATTAGTAGTGTAACTACCCATTTTCTTGATGTAAATCTCACCTCTCTGTATTTTGGAGGTGATTTATCCCCAGGACAAACTACCCAAATACAACAAAGTACAAAACCTTTTCTTCAAAGAGAATGCATTTTGCATCCTTCAGTCCTCCCAAAGACAGCCTTTAAGTTCTGCATTAAATCAGCATAATTAATCAGATACCCTTAGAGGGGGTTTCCTTCCAAAAAGAAAACTTATGTCTTTATCCTAGAAAATTAATATTTGTAACTTTTATAAATGATCAACCCATTGTTTTCCAATTATAAAGCCCCAGTCTAAGACAATCCATAACATTATAAATTTGTGAAACAATAATGAAAAGAGGTACTGTTTATTTTGAACAATTTATTTTACAACAGGCAAAATATATTTTCATGTTTTATTAGGTAAGAATTGAGCTTTGGATAAAACTCATAATATTTCAACTTAATCAAAAAAGTAAATTTTGTAGCACAAACTTGCAAGAAAGTATTATCTATTTTACATAGATAAAGAAACAGGTTTAGAAGGATTTCAAGCTTACTAAATGTTGCCCAACTAGTAAGTGGCCCAATCAGAATCTAGTTGGTCTAATGGAAACATCTGTTTTCTTTCCTGTCTGTATCAAGGCAATCTACATGAGAAAGACTGTGTTTGGCTCTGCTTAGTGATGATTCCTTTGAGGGGAAAAACATGCATGTTTCTTGAATATTTATTGGTGATTGATATTAGCTGATTTAGTTATCAAAACAGTCAAAGTAAAGGAAACTCGGGATTATGCCCTTGTCATGGCAGGAGAAGCTATATAGAACCCTTCATTGAGAGATTCCTGCTGAGAACTCAATAAATTATCTTGCTAGCAACAGAGTAGGTTCCAACCTGAAATGCAATGTGTTTAAAGTTTTTCTTTCATTAAGAATAGATCTCCTTTCAGTATCTAAGCATGTAGAATATGCTTTGTCTACTTTTGAGCCTGTTTGATCATTTCCCTTTTGTAAACATAATTTCTGCCTGAAATTAGATATTTTGCTTTGCATTAGAATTTTACATTTACATTCCTTAGTTCGCCTGAATGCTTAAAATATTCCATGTGCAAAGAAACAAGCAATCATAAACAAATAATTTACAGCCCTGCTTTCAAGGATACTAAATCTTAATTAGCTATTTGTTTGCTTGTTTGTTTGTTTGTTTGTTTGTTTCTCTCCTTGCTCTTTGGAAGAAAGCCCAATACAAACAAGGGTTAATGTAAAACCCTCAATTTTTTGTAAAAGGAGCTTTCTTCCTTGGATTTGAATAACAACATATCTGGCCTGCAAAATAAACCACTCAACTGTCTCAGATATTTGGGAATGAATGCTTATCCACTAATTGGCTTCAGCTGTTTTTTTCTCTTCATTATTTGAACTGAGAAAACAGCTGTTTGGCAAATGGTTAAGCCCTAAGTCACATGGTTAGTGATTTATGCACTTCAACGCGCTAATGGATGCCTTGTAGAGTATGGTTTTGTTTATTTGATTGTTAAAGGCCATAGTTAATGAATCGTGACTTTGTTTAAACACATAGTGCACCCAATCTCATGGAGCAATTTGCAATTGGGGAGATTCATTTTCAGATCATTTTTTTCAACTTATTTTAATTTGCTTGGTTTTGCCTCTCAAGGATAATATGGAAATGAGGAGAAATTGAAGATAAAGACATGCTTTTATGAAACCTGAGGTGCTTACATGTGAGTCACCAGTTATCACAGAACAGAAAAAAAATGGGGACAGGGGAAAAGAAACTATTCATCTTTTGAATTATTTGAACTAATCATACTTCTTATGTAGTATTTTCTTTTGAGCAAGAAAGTTAACAGCAAGAACACTGATATTGTACAATGGTGACCTCTTAGGGCATTAATTGGCCCATGTTGGAATAAAGTTGTGAAAGTTATTAAAAGGTATTTTTCCACTAGTTTGATCAGAACAGGTCAACCACAAATGCTGATGTTCTTTTATAATTAAAATTGCCTGTTATCCCAATAATAAGAATAAATTGCACTTAGATTCCACCAGTTATAATCATATTCACCATTCATATTTAACATGAAGTTAAAGCAATGATTAGAATAGCAAAATTTAATATCTGAAACCTTATATTTAAAATCTGCTATCTTTAGCTGATATTTATCTAAAATTATAGACACTTTTAAAAGACTTTCAATATGGGTTGTTTAAATTTCCTAAAGTACCCAATTCTATCCTTTAACATTTGATGTCAAATAAATATTATTTTACCTAACATAATTCAGCTAACTTGTGACCAATATCCATAGAATCATAACATATAACTATTTTAAGGAACAATAGAAATGTAGTAACTCACTTATTTTACAGGTATAAAAGCAAAATCTCAGGGAGGGTAAGTATATTTTTTTGCCAACATAAAAGCAGACAAATTCAAATGAGTGGTTGGCAAATATTTTCTCCCACTCTGTTGATAGTTGTTTTATTTGCTATTAAGAAGCTTTTTAGTTTGATGGAATCAAACTAAATTTTTACAAATGAATTTTTCCTAGTTTTGCTTATATTGACTGTACTTTTGGGTTTATATTAAAAAAACTGCATTGCCCAGTTTTTGTCATGGAGCTTTTTCTCTGTGTTTTCTTCTAATGGTTTTTAGAGTTTCTAGTCTTATATTTAAGTCATTTTTCCATTTTGAGTTGATTTTTGCTTAGGGTGTGAGATGAAAATCCAATTTTATTTCACTGCATGTGTATATCCAGTTTTCCCAACACAGTTCACTGAAGCAACTGTTCTTTCCCCATTGTGTGTTTTTGGTGCCTTTGTTGAAAATCTTTTCACCATAAATGCCTGGGTTTATTTCTGAGCTCTCCATCCTGTTCTATTTGTCAGTGTGTCTGTTTTTATGCCAGAACCATGCTGTTTTTATTACAATAGCCAAATTCACTGAAAATGGAACATTTCCCAATCTTAAGAACATTTTTGAGGTTTTAGATTGGCATATCTGCCATGTATCAACTCTATTCCTTCCTTGTCTTTGCCTCTACTCCAGTCATGCCTCAGTTATAACCATGCTTGGGATGAATCTTCATGGAAATAGGAAAGCATTCAGTAGAGTATAATCCAAGAACAGCTAAGACCTGGAGTTCAGAGAAAGGGTTGATAAACATCAGCTAAGTTCATAGAAGCAGCCCTTAAACTCCAAGAAAAGGCCCTATTGTTTTATGTAAATGTTCATGGCAAGACGGGTCTTGCGAGCTGAAGGAATTGGGTACACCAAAATCATATGACAGTAGTATATAAGAAAAAAGATGAAAAAAGGACAAATTTGCACTAATATCTTTTTTGATGGAGATGAATGTCTAAAAGTACATTTTTATATCCCATTTTTGGGGGAAATACATAGTACAGAGTAGTATATTCCCAGGAATCTGTAAGGGTTCTTTATTTCTTTGCCCTCTCTGATCTTAACTCCAATATAGGGTGTTCACTGAACAAAAGAAACAAAACACAACAATAAGAAAATGATCTCCATCTTAAAGCAATTGGTTTTTAATTTTGCTAAAGTATGTTCTACTTTCCTTTATCTCTTTATCTTCCTTTGAGTTCAGTTCTTTTCTTCATCCGTCTATACAGAAAGGAATTACAAGTGAGCCACAAGACTGAAAGCAAAAGGGTACAGATATAAGTACAGTAGGTCTTAGAATGCCTAATGAAAAGAGAAACCATCTTTGGAAACAAGATAGAAGATAGTTCACTGGATGACCTGCATGCTGAGGAGGTTCTGTGTTACAGTGCTCAATCTATCCCATTCCCAAAACCTCAAAATATGAACTTAACTGGATATAAGATTTTTGCAGATGCAATTAACTGAGTCATAATAGATTAGAATCAGTCCTAAATTCCACATGACTGATAGTCTAATTAAAAGAAGAGCCACAGATATGGACATGGACAGAATAAAGATGGCCGAGTGAAGACAGGCAGATATTGGAGGGATGCATATACAAACCAAACAACGCTAAGATTTTAAAGCAATCATCCACAGCCAGAAGAGGCAAACAGGAGTTCTTCTCTAGAGCATTCACAAGGAAGTATGATACTGCAGGCACCTTCATCTAAGAATTCTTGTCTCCAGAACTCTGAGGGAATAAATTTCTTTAAAGTCACTTATTTTGTGGTACTTTGTTACAGCAACCCTAAGAAGTTGATCCACTGGGAAAGGTGTGAGATATGAACTTTTATCTTCAGAATTTAAAGAAATGCAAAGTAAACAACTCTTCGGGATAGGTAGAAAACCCAAAAGCATGAACAGGGGATGGTAAATCCTCACAACAAAAGCCTTGCACTACATTGGACTCAAAGTCAGAGACACATAAACAAAGGTAAGGGCGAATTACTTTTGAAAAGAAAATGGTTGTAATATGAAGAAAGACACAGAAATAATATTCTGAAAACATAAATACCTCATGATTACAAGAAGTAGGCTTTCTTTTCAAAACTTATGTAAATAATAAAATGCAATACATTTTTAGCCTAAGTCGTGAGCACAGACGAGAAACACTGTTAAACCTATTGTTAGTAAGATGCCTAAGGAGGCACATACTGCTACCAAAGTGTAGTCCATGGATCAGCATTGATCCTCAAGCTCTTTGCTTCTTATCTAAATGAGTGACTGGTAAACTTGTATATTTGGGCAAATAATCTGTTCCATTCCTGTGATTGAGTCTCGTGTCTTCTGAGTTGCACACTAATCATGAAAAATAGAATCATGTTTCAACAAGTAATATTTAAAAGTCAGTTTCTCAACTATAACCCACAAGTGAATAAAAATATTAAAACTGTAAGTATTTATGTATTGTCAATGTTCATTACTTATATAATCATTTTGTTGTAAATTAAATTTGATTTTTAATTTGTAGTTCAACATGATTAACTAAATTAGGAAAATGATATTTGCATTATTAAATCTTAACTCTCAAGTTTTCATTTACTTCTTAAGAAAAACATCTTCTCTGAATGAAATGATGAGGATGAAAGTGATTCCAAACAAAAACTGATAGCATTTGGATTTTCACCCAGATATATGATATCTCATGCATTGCATTAAATTTTATAGTCATGAAGAAATGCATTAAATATATGTTCTTTTTCCAGTATACAAGGTAATATAAAGGCAAGACAATCTTCAAAACTTGAAGGGATGTGTTCTTCCAAGTCTCAGTGGCTTTCAACAAACATTTATTTTTAAAAATATACTTTATTTAGATTCACAGCAATATTGATCAGAAGATATAGAGAATTCCCATCTGCCACCTTCCACACATGTTTAGCCTCCCCCATTATCAATGTCTCTCTCTAGATTGGCACATTCATTACATCAGTGAACCTATATTGCCACATCATCACCCAAAGCCTATAATTTACTTTAGGGTTCACTTGATGGTGTGCATCCTAGGGGCTTAGACAAATGTATGATGACCTGGATCTACCAATGTAGTATCTCATATCAGTTTTACTGTCCCCAAAATCTCTGTATCCTGCCTATTTGTACCTCACTTCCCCTTAACTCCTAGTAGCAATTAATCTTTTTTACTTTCTCTATAGCTTTCCTTTCCTAGAATGTCATAGTTGGAAATATACAGTGCATGGGTTTTTTTAGATTGGCTTCTATCTCTAGGTAATGTACATTGGAATTTCCCCCAAGTCCCTTCATGGTTTGATGCTCATTTGTTTCTAGCACCAAATGATATTCCATTGTCCAGATATGCAACATTGTTTCAGCCATTCACCTACTGAAGGACATCTTGGTTACTTGAAAAAATTGATAATTATTAATGTATTTAAATATCCATGTGAGGGCATTTGGTGTAGATATGTTTTATTTGGGTAAATACCAAAGAACATGACTGTTGGATTGTATGATGAAACTATGTTTAGTTTTGTAAAAAAAAAAAAAACTGTCATTAACATAGAACATTTAGTAATTTAGTTAGCTTTTGACTTCTTTTTTTAAAAAAATATTTATTTATTTTTTTAGTTTCCAGTGGACACAACATCTTTGTATGTGGTGCTGAGGATCGAACCCGGGCCACACACATGCCAGGCAAGCGCACTACCGCTTGAGCCACATCCCCAACCGAGCTTTTGACTTCTTTTATCAGAGATTTTTAGTTTTTTTCACACAAATATTCTCTCTCTCTCTCTCTCTCTCTCTCTCTCTCTCTCTCTCACACACACACACACACACACACACACACACACACCACATACACATAGTATAATTTATACCAAAGTATTTTTTTCTTCTAGTGTAAATGATATTGTTTTCCATTTCAAATTTCACATGTTCATTATGGGTACATAAGAAAATGATCAACTTTTGTATACTAACCCTGTATCCTGAACCTTTCTATATTTGCTTTTTAGTTTCAGTTTATTGTCTATTCTCTGGGATTTCCAAAGGAAGGCCCTAACTCTCTTCAATCCTCTGAGATCTGAGAGAGGTGAGGAAGCTACATAAGAAAAGTTTGAACCTTTCAGATGTTTGTTCATGAGGATTAGGGAAGGAACCCATCTACATACTATAAAAATATAATATGACGCAGCAGGTGCTCATCTAGAATGTGCAGCAAGTTATCCAGAAAATCTACCAAAGATAATTGATTAAGGTGGCTTCACTGGACAGCAGGTTTCAATGTAGATTTAAAAGCCTGATATTGAAAGAAGATGCCACTAGAACTTAAATAGGTAGGGAGAAGTCAATTCTGGTCTTCAAAGCTTCAAAGAGCAAGCTGATTATCTTCTTAGGAGCTAAGAAAGATAAAAATGTTGAAGAAAGTTCCAATGTGGTTAAATGCATTGGAACTTTCTTCAAAATTGTAGTCAATCCTTTCAAACTCTGCCATGTAGCTTTATCAGCTAAGTTTATGTACTATTCTAAATCTTTTGTCATTTCAGTAGTATTCACTGCATCTTTACCAGGAAAGGAGTCTATCTTAAGAAACCACTTTCTCTGCTCATCCATAAGAAGCAGCCCTTATTCATTCAAGTTTTATCATGAAATTGTAGCAACTCTGAATTCTAATCCTCTTGCTATCTCCTCCACATAATGCAGATACTTTTTCCACTCACTGAAATCTAGAACCCCTGAAAGTCATCCATGAAGGCTATAATCAACTTCTTGCAAACTCCTGAATTGGTATTTCAACCTCCTCCCTTGAATCATAAAAGTTTTTAATGATATCTAGAATGATAAATTCTTTCCAGAACAGGCTTTTAATTCAAATTTTCCTGATCCACCAGAGAAATCACTGTCTATAGCAGCTATGACTGTAGTCTTATGTAATGTATTTCTTAAATAATAAGACTTGAGAGTTGAAATTACTCCTTGATCTATGGACTAGAATGGAAGCTGTGTGAGAAGGCATGAAAACAATATTAATGTCATTATCTGTCCACATCAGAGTTCTTGAGTGACAAAATGTATTGCCAGTGAGCAGTGATATTTCAAAAGAAATCTATTTTCCTGGGTAGCAGTTCTCAACAATGGGCTTAAAATATTTAGTAAACCATGTTTTTCAACAGCTGTGCCATTACACAAATTTTGCTTTCCCATTTGTAGAATATAGCAGCATATATTTAGTATAACTGTTAGGGGTCCTAGAAGTTTAGAATGGTAAGTTATCATCGGCTTCAACTCAATGTCACCAGCTTTCTTAGCTCCTAAAAATAAAATAAAACTACTCAACTGTCTCAGATATTTGGGGATGAATGCTTTGCTTTATTTTCTTCCTTCAGTATCCTGCAAGATCCTCTTTAACTTGCCTCCCTAAACATGACTTGTCCATTTGACAACCATAATTAGAAAAATTGGACAAATAAGGTGGGTTCTCATTTTTATATTCTGACTTGGTAAACCAAACTGCCAACTTAGCAAAGCCCACTTTTGGACTTAATGCTTTTACCATAGGGACCTAATGATTAAATATCTATCCTTCTATTTAAATTAACATTTCCATATGTGCTCTCCATGATAGATATTTCTGCCTTCTTTTACACTTGATAACATTTTCACCATTTTATGATTTTTGCTTCCTCCTTATTTTTTCCTTGCCAATAATTCATCAAACTTGTTTTAGATCTGATATCATACATTTATTATAATATTTATCTCAATTTAAAGTGTGGTACTTGAGCATAACTTTTATAGCTCTTTTTTATTTATGCTCTAAAGGATATTTGAGCCATGTGTTAATGATCTTCTTTTCTCTTGTACTTCTCAACATAGTACTGAAGGCATGCCCTATGTTTCATGCACATTTATGGGATGAACACACGGCAGTCCCCAAGAATCCTCCAGTATTCATTGATGCCTTCTCACAGTCTGGCTTCTTATTCCCAGCCCTTCCTATAACTTTGTATTCTATATTTTATATTAACAGTGTGAATATCCATGGTCTGGTTTGCTACTGATAAAACAGTTAATACATAAATGATGATTACCATCTCCCATATACCATTGTAAAAATTTCACAACTATTAACTACTTTTTATAGCAACTCTAGTAATAATACCTTATGGAGTAGATATTATTATTCCTAGTTTGCATTTGAGGAAATGTTAATATATGGATACTGGGTCTTTGGGGGTATAAATGTGAAGATTAATTTTAAAAGCTAAACAATAGATAAATATAGACATAAGAAAAGATCTGATCCTATTCTAGCTATTAAGCAATTAAGATGGAAGGTATTGCTTCTGAGGATTTTTCTTATAGTAATTGATAAAGTCCTTAAACGAGTAACCCAAAGGAGCCAAAACATTATTATAAATCATCACTTAGCGGGTTTGTACATCAGATAAAAATGAAGCTCCCGTCCTGTCTACCCATGTGGAGCTCTCCATGAAGCTTAAGCATTATCTTTCATGTTGCTTTACTTGTTCGTTCTGCTGTTGCCACAGCAACTAAAGGATTCTATTCCACTGCTCTTGCAGATAATTTACAAATATGGTTTTTGGAATAAAGGCAATGAATCACACTTTTAAAAAACAAAGGTTGTCAATATAGAGAGCTATTATTTGTAAGTTTAATAAGACTCAATCCTTTTTTTCTTAGAAAAAAAACATGTCCATTGTAAGCATCATGTCCTATATAATATTGGAAGTGGACAACATCCTATATAAAATTGAAATCAGAAAAATCAAGTTTTCATTAATTTCTAAGGAATCCATGTATTTATATAGACCATGAATATACTTAACTATATTAGTAAGGGTTCTCCAGAAAGACAAAACCAAAAGGAGATGAGATTAGATAGATAGATAGATAGATAGATAGATAGATAGATAGATAGATAGATAGATAATAGATAGATAGATACGG